CATTTAACAAAGTTTCTTTCACTGTATTGCTCAACACAGCTCTGAGCCACAAGACATTCAACACGGTTTCATTTTGGCTACAGGGATTATTACACTTTTATTTTACTTGATTCATCATTATAGAAAAGATAAGGATGACAACAGGAGGCCAGTGGCACTGCTGCACTTAAAAGAGAACAAAGTAATACTAATCCTCTCTAAAAGGTACATCCCAAAAAAGTTTCATTAGCCATCTCTTATGTGCTGGCAGCCATCTGGAGATGTTGCATAAACATCACAGTATATGTCAGGGGTTGGGTTTACAATTTTTGAAGAAGCAAGTAGGAGAGCTGAAATGTTGCTCATTAACAACAAGGTTCATCCAGATTTCTCAGTTTAACAGCTTGTCCATTTTTCCTAGCCAATTTTTAAAATGAAAGAAATTAGTTTCCTCAATCTATGTCTTAATACCCAGAAAACACAAAAAGCTCTACTACATATACCCTTTAGGATACCACAGATAATAACAAACATTTATTTCATTCAACTACCACTGCTTAATCTACCAACAAAGTCAGCATCATTAGTTTAAGCCTCCACATTTTGCTCAGACAGGACAAATTTTAGATTAAGTGTCAATTATTGGCTCATAAAGTCCTATTACTGGCATTTCCTTCTAAGCAGAGTGTGGTTTAATTGGCAAGGGCCTTTTTTCCTAAGACGAGCCTAATTCTAAAAAATGTTACATGCCCAGCTGAGCAACCCATCAAGCTGCAGGGGAAGCAGTTGCACTGAGCAATACCCTCCTGAATAAATCTGTCCAGCTTATGGCCATTAACTCAAATCCAAACTATTACTCCCATCAACTGACACTGATGACAGTGACAAGGCCCCGCAAGCTTGCTTTGATGGCCATTAGTAAATTCAATTTTATTTTATTAAGTAACCAGTAACATGCCAAAAACTTCTGTATTCTGTGGTTACAAGAAGGACATGCACACCAGTTGACAGATAGCCAAGTCATTTCACACTTCACTATATACAACATCTTAACACATACGCAAGAGAGTAAGATGAAAATGTGACATTACAAGTAGGCATTAAGGTTTTGATGGCATAAATTTAGGCTGACTGGCAATAAAAATATCCAGGAGCTGTTACACTAGCTACCACAAGTTCCTTTTTCAAACCTTTATATCATAACACCACCACATTTTAGAAGTATTTAAAAATATCACTTTCTGAAGAATCTTATAGGCAACTTTTTTCCTGTACTACTATCTGAAAAGCCAAACTACTTTTAGGCCATGAACAGAGAATAGTAATATACACTATGTCATAAATCTTTGAAGCAAGAAAAGGCTCTTCCACAGATATCACATTTTCGGCATTATAGATAATTAAGGTAAGAAAGCACTTTAGCAATTAAACTTTGTAAGTATTAGTAACTTTTTTTGTATCAACTGCATCTTGGTGAGCCTTTTCTTCTGCTCTTAAACAATGTTAAAACTCACACAACAGCTTCCTTCTTTGTCAGCTGTTTACTTTGCTTCACCTCCAAATCACAGCAGCTCAAAGGGCCAAGCAAGAAATAGCAATTCCTGGATTCATAAGCAATAAACATAACCGGGAGGAGACTTTCCAAAAGGACAAAGAACTCTTGGGCTCTATTTTGATTGGTGTTAAGACACTGATCTTTCAATCAAAACACCTGGGTGACAAGTGTGGCAGGCAGTCAATGGGGACACTAATTTGGTCAAGAGACAGACATTGCTGTTTTCTTCACTATCATGACAGGTCAGAGATTGTCAACTTGACAGCTCCTTTGTGAACACCATTGGAGATTTAGACGAAAATCCTCAAAAGCAGATAAAAGTGGCAGTTGCACTCAAGAAGCACGTCTCAGTATGCAACTATGAGCACAGTTCTGTGTGAAACAAGAACATGCACTTACCACAAAGAACAAGTTACACCAAATGTGATGCTTTAGCACAAAGTGACTAATGATATCTTTTCACCAGGCAATACGTGCTCAAGAAATATTTTATCTAATAATAGCAGCCCTGTCTTTCCCTCCAGGGTCTGTATAATTGCATTTAAAGTGATGAAGACATCTTGCTTTTATGGAATCACAGAATGGCTGAGGTTGGAAGAGACTTTAAAGATCATCAGGTTCCAACCTCCCTGCTATGAGCAGGGACACCTCACACTAGACCAGGCTGCACAAGCCTCATCCAACCTGGCCTTCAACACCTCCAGGGAGGGGGCTTCCACAACCTCCCTTGACAACCTATTCCAGTGCCTTATTGCCCTCATGGTGAAGAATTTCTTCCTGATGTCTAACCTAAATCTCCTCTCTTCCAGTTTAAAACCATTATCCCTTGTCCTATCACTGCCCTGTCTGGTGAAAAGCCCCTCCTTAGCTTTCCTGTAGTCCCCCTTCAGGTACTGGAAGGCTGCTCTAAGGTTTCCCCACAGCCTTCTCTTCTCCAGGCTGAACAGCCCCAAGCATAGGCAAAGATGAGGAGAAAAATAGCACTTTTACCAGATAGCCTATCTAAAAACACAAAATACCTGCAATGCACAGGAGCCCTGATGATGTGGTTTAGTAGGAACACTCCTTTTGTCGTGCATTCACTCACATGTACTCAATAGCAGAGCTCAGCATCCTGCTCACATGGAATACAACCACGGGTTTTTCTAAGAGGACATGCACTAAGAGCACTGCTGGTTGCCATAGGCACAACTAGGATCTGCCAGCTTTCCAGTTTCGACACTTTCCAATAGCTTACACCTTTATCAAAGCACAGGTGTCTGTGGCAGGGAAGACTTTCATGCAAAAATTAAAAATGACCACTTCTTGGGAAATTCTTTAAGAATGGCCAGTTCCCTAGTGACTCAGGCATCTTTTTATTTGTAAAAAAAATCCAGGTTTCGGCAGTCAGGGGCCACTGAGTAGCCAGGTACAGGACTTGAAAATATCCTTCTCAAGTCTCCCCTGCTTAAGTACCTTGGCATGGAAGAGAAAATGTAGCTTGAGTTCAGTGCTGGAGTTCAAATGCAAGGCAGAACAAAGATGCACAAGTGCACAGTACAATGAAAGGATCAGGGAAGTACAGGAGAAAAGAAGATCAAAATGCTATCCATAAAAAATGAGCTAATCTGAAACTGGACTTCCTGAAACTCAATTAGCAAATATCTATAAAATTCACTGGAAAAATTCACACTGTTTCTTTAATCCCAGTGACTGTTCCATACTGTAGCTACAGACTGTATTTCAGCAAATTATTTAAAACAATGCTTTTAAAACTATTTAGGCAATGCATCATTTCCTTAAGGTAAAAACAGTTTTGTGAATCAATAGAAGTGACTGCAGGGATGTGCTAGCAAAGGGGTTTTGCATCTCTTCTACAGTTTAACTTCAGACTGCATCATAGCTTATGATTTATTATTCCAATTGAACTTCATGAGCAGTTACAAACCAAATTCTTCTTGCTTTTTAGGGCCCAACTTAAGACAACACTAACTCGAGAAGTCTTCATTTTACAAATGTTGCTGCAGTAAACAACTGTAACCAAAGTCAACATGAAAATCAAATCTCCCTAATAGAAATGCTAAAAAAAATCCCAGGTTCTCTCAAGGAGGTGAGTTTGGAGGCATCTTCTACTAACAGAAAAAGTACTCAATTTTATGAAGTTACCTGTGCATCAGTGTTCTGTCTATACAAAGGGTATGATACAATTTGTTCATCACAAGGGGAACAAGTAAGATTAAGTTAACATTTGCAAACCTTTTAGATAATACAATGCAGAACCAGCAGAAGAATTTAGCAAAGAACTAGTAATTCTGTATTCAAACAGGTATTTGAATGGTACATAATATTACACACTGAACAAATAACACAACAGAATGAAAAGCAGCTCATTCAGAAGATTGGTCCAGTTCAGGAAGGAGAGAGTGGGGGAGAAGGGGAAGAATCTGATCACATAATTACAGGTTTTCTGACAGTACATACACACAAAGAAGCCATAGAAAGATTCTTCCACAGAACCTTAATGCTGTTTATTTTCCTTCACTATTTACTGCTTGATGATTCTGTGACAATTTATAGCTATTTATAAAATATCAGAGACAAGCAACACAGCATGTATCTGTGTGTCAGAAAAGAAATATGGAACATACATAATGCAATGTAAAACCTATTGGTGTTTTTTTTCTTACAACACATAGCCAGTGGAGTGCATCATCACATAGTGCCATTACAAAACCAGAATCACCAGATCTGTATTTAACTAATTGCCTTTTCATTTAGATAACAGATTATAAGGGTTCTGTATGGTAGGTATAGAATAAACATTTTAAAGCAGTGATTGGTTTTGCCAATCACAATGAACCATACAGCTAGCATCTGGTACTGTTTCCATTTTTACATTGAAAAGATTATTATTTGACAATTTATATATACAAGGTATGGCTTTATTGTTGACTAATCTTGCTCACCCTAATCTCACTGCTATGAATCTGCATAATACAACCAGGAAATTTTCACACTGATTCTATACAACATTTTTAGCATTTCTTATTTAAAAATCATTATCTGTGCACACTTTAAGCTGTCTCTGCCTAAAGTACACATTTAAGAACTTGGTTCAAGTCCAAAGAAAGAGACAAAACTTGCAGAAATTATTCATTATTTACAATATGGGGGAGAGGGCAGGTAGGTGAGGGGAAATATGAGGGACTCTGATTTTACTGCTTCTGGCTTTCTTCATCAGGAAACAATACAGGTTTCCTTTCATATACTTGTGACACTAGGATAACCATCATTTACTTGACTTAAATTAAGCACATATAAAACTTAATATTTTTGGCTTTGGAGAATTATCCCCAAGTAATATCTAGCAGAAAATGAAAACAAAAGGCCTCATTTAATCCACCTACTCCAGGGTTCAATTTCACCCACAATGTGTAACTGGAATTGCAAGTGGATTTAAACAGACCATGAGAAAGAAGGAACTCACCATTCTAACTACTTCAGGGTAAGTCTGCTCTGTCAAACAGCCTCTGCTTATTGTAATGTAGTCCACCAGTTCATTAAGAGTGGAGCGCTTGTATTCTTTCATTTTAAGGTCTGAAAGCGTGTCCATGAAGTCAAAAATTACACAGCACTGTTGAAGTTTCTTTAGGAACAGTTCAGGCTGCTCTGAAGATGGAACGTCTATGAAACAAGAAAGGAAATCTTTGTGAGTGTGGCTGAAGATCAATTTCAAAGGAAAGCAGCATTCATACAGTTTTTGTAAAACAGAGCTCAGATTAACAAACAACCCCCTTACAGGAACTGTATTACTATTGTGTGTTTGAGATCTTCAACAACATGTTGTAGAAGCAATTTAATCATCACCTGCTATTATGAAAATAAAGTTCACCAACTAAGTCCAGGTTGAAGTGGAGAATGCAAATACAACAGCATTCAAGGCTTAGTTCTACAATACACCACTGCATTCACTGGAGGCTGACACTCACCATTGTTAACTTACACTCCAAAGAAGGATGAAAGAACTGTCAAACAAATCAAGGTTGAGTAATTTATATTTGTAAAAACACTGTGTCATTTATAACTGTATATGAATATACATGAATATGTATATGAAAACACAGCAAGACTATAATTCTGCACACAAGTTCTCAGATTCAATCATTACCCCCATGTTGAAACTTTCCATAGCAAAATCAAATTGACTTAAACACAGCGGGGATTTTTTGCTGTACTATGAACACATAACAGGTATCAACAGGAACATTTTCACACAAAATAACAGTATGTGCTTGACCAATAAAGTAAGCAGAATATTCTAATTACTACTTTTGCTGTTTTCTTAATTCTCAGCAGATAAAAGAATTAATGAAGAAATAAGAGGCCTGTCAACTTCTTAGTGGTTTGTTACGTTTCTCAAAAGAGCACACAGAAGGCCCAGTTTCTTCAATGTTCTATACACAAGAGGCTAACAATAACAGAAAGTTGCAGAAATTAAACATGCATTTTACTCTTAAAGTATACCCTCAGACTAGAGGGCACTTCACTTCCTCTGATCTCCCTTTTTTTTTTTTAAAGGTACAAATACTCTGTCAGCACCAGAATCCAGTGAATGACCCTTGCAAGCCATAAGACAAGACAGAAATGAATTTTTTTTCTGATTTCAACTAGCAAAACATTAATAGTAAAGACTTTCATTTCTTAAAGCTTAGCCATACTAGTAAAAAGCCAACCTCAGATAAAACTTCTTGCTGTTAACAGAAGAGTATGTCAAGCTAAGGAATACTTGGTAAACACTGGAAGTTGGTATTAGTTTATAGTAGTTTCAAGGATGAAGCACCATGAATCTGTTTTAATTAAAACCATGTACATAGTTACTAATTTCAACTTCAAAAAGCCTATTTAAATATTCCAAGGTCATCATATAGATACACAGTTTCAAAAATTACTGATAGAGATGCAAGGACCTCAAGGCACTTCACATCATCCCCCTATGTCGCTTACACACTGAAAAGAATAAATATGGATTGCAGCAGAAATAAAGATGCTATTTGTTTTCTGACCTGACAAGGTAAAGTACAACAGTTCATTCAACATTGTTGTCCTTAGAGCATTGCAGTATGAGAGGATTCACCAGGTTAAGAAACCTAATATGGTGCATCCCACAAAGAACAATCAAGATCTTGGTAAAGTCAATTGATGATACCAAGCTTCACACACCAATCTCATACTAATTAAGCTTGGGTAATCTCTACAACAGCTGTGTCCAAAGCAAATTAAGAGGGAAAAGAAGTGACATCGTTATGCCACCACACTTGATATCACCGTAATTATTCACCCCACATTCCTACAGGTTATACTGATCTGTCGTCCTGCAGAACCCCAAAAAGAAGAGCTACACAGGACAACAGTCCCCTCTGAAGACCTCTGGAAAACTGAGGGTCCCAAAACCAGGTCACCCTAAAGTTGTTTCAGTAGCCACGTAAGTTCTGATGCCTCACAGCTGAAAATTAAGGTAAGCCAAGAACTCAGAGAAAGTCATTAGCCACCACCCATTATAAAACTCATCACTTCTATTAGCGACATTTCTAAGGTTAGAGCTTTACAGGACATAAGAGTCTTTGGGGAAGCAAGGTATTGACTTCTTTCTTGAATACCTGCCTTCAAGTAACACAACAAAGGAGACTGGACTTCAGAATTCACTGTTATTAGCAAGCAGGCAACAATTCATTGATTAAACAATTTATTCCACAAGATAGACTGTAAATACAAGCTCAGAAAAACAAAAAAAGGAGATTTATATATGAAGTGCAATTGATTTCTTTTCAAGAGTATCATGTTTAATTCTTTCACTCCTTCTTATGCTATCTGTAAACCCCCATAGAACATGGAAACACATAATCTGTGATGTTACAAGAGCATAATGGGGTTTTGGTTGTGTTGTTCTACCCGGCTGGCACGCATTCAGTTTGGCCAACAAAGATATCCTGGTCAAACAAAAACACAGGCTGAAATCAAATGGGAATCCATTAAGATACAATTCAGCACAAGTTACAACCAGACTCAAATGACTCATGATTGCACTGATTTTAAACTAGGGTCAGTATTAAATAGAAATTAAAAAATGACTAAAGCATTAAAATAACTAATAAAAGTTTGTTTTCTTTTTTCCTCTAGTTAAGTATCTGGGGGTGTGGGAACAAAATGAAAAATATAATTAAGTTCTTCTCAAGAAAAACCACTCAAAAACACTACATCAATTTCAGGCCAGCATTAGGACATCATTAAGCCATGCAAACTATAGGAAAAACTCCAAACAAACAAAAACAACCAACCAAAAAAACCCACAAGCAACAGCACAAAAATCCAAGGCCCTACAAAATAAAACCCCACAACCCAGTTGTTCTGGTCACATCTGCCTTTCTTTATTGAGCAAGTTACCATTCACATTGCAAACTAAAATTGCAACCAGTTTTATTCAATAATATTTCTCCCTGTTCTTGGCAATTCAGGATACCTTGGGAACAGGGTAAAACCTAATGACTGGGTCTTTTCTACTTGGAAACAGGAGAAGTATACAAGGGCAAATTCAAGGGGTCCTAATATGCACAGCATAAGAAAAGGGCAGCAGAAATCAATAAAATCAGTATTCCATGTTCCCAGTTTTCAACCATACCATTAGCTGGTTTGGAGTTTTTTTATGTTTTTGTGGAGGGAGTGTTTGTGTGTGTGTTTTCTTTAATTATCAAAACCTCTTTCACAACTGTAGAAACCTTACAGAAAGGTCACTAAGAATGGATTTCACCAGCCACCCTCATGCCACCACTCAGAGCAGGGCATGCACTGGTATTGGGTACAGACCTCATCAGCTCCACAGCAGAGCTGAACTCTTTCATGCAATGCCTTGAAATGAAACATGCTGCTTGTTACAGATGTTTGCAGTCAGCTGATGAAAAACAGCAATCATTTCCTTCTCAGCAGATGGACACTCAGAGCTTCAATGAATTCTGCAACGTTTTATGCTTGGGCTAACGCAAAGCCATACATTTAGGCCTACAAGTGTAATAACCTTCAATCTTACCACATACCCTCTTTCAACTGAAAACCTGAAAATTGAGCAACTACTCCAATAAATCTTACTACCTATAGTACTTCAATCTATAAAATCAAATCAAAATGACAGTACTAAGTGGCATGTGCAATTTATACCCAACACACAGGAGAATATACATTTATTAAAATCAACCTTTAGAGAAAGATAAACTTGTGTCTGGATTACTGGGAACTCCCCTCATTTTCAGAAGAAGGTCTTAGCTAAGTGTTAATATTTTGGCTTGTCAGTTTTTGTCTTTAGCCACGTAAAACTGGACAAAGTTTTTTAAATACACCTAGTATTCACAGATTTAAAGGAAATTAGCTGAGTGGAAAGAAGTACTAATACATCTGAACAATGATTATCAAGAAGGAAGCAGAGCCTTTAAAAAAATCAAGTGGTTTATAAATTTATCAGAAAAAATTACAAAGTACTGTGATTTTTTTTTAGACACAGACCAAAAATTGTAACAACAGGTGAAATACTAAGTCTAAAATAGCCAAAGCAATTTGGTTTCTTTCTTAATAGCCTTTTTCCAGAATAATCCTAATCCAACTAGCCCATCACTTCTCATCAGGCATCTCTTCAATCTCTGCCTTCTCCATCCTTTTATCAAATAAAGATGTAAAAATCTGATTGCATGTTTTTATTGCAAGTCTCACAATAATTTTAAGAACTTCCTTCTAGTTTCCTAACATCTGAGAACTCTGTATGCAGTTGCCTCCATCCACTGAGATTGTTTTCTATATTCTTGCCCTATATACTTAACGGCAAAATAATTCCCCAATTTTAGTTCCATTTCTGTATCTTCCAGCTTCCAGGTTACTAAATAAACCTAGGATTACTATTTTTCTAGAAAAGTAAAATCTCCTTGTGACAAAAAAGCTCTAAAAAAACCCAAACAAACCCCTCCTTGATTTCTACCACTCACCAAGTCACAGAGTTAAACGTAACCAACTACTGAAAAACAGACCTACCTGTACAAAGTTGACATAAATCTCCTCATGTCTGCACCAAGCCTCTACAGGCCCCTATGAAGATTCTATTTTGTAAGAAGCTAACTCTCTAGCTTTTATTTAAATAAAACTTGCCAATTTGAATTTGAAAGCCTTTTGTTCTTGTGAGAAGGACATCTTCCGAGAAGAGGACATCTAGTGACACACAGCTCACACCTTTAGCTAAGTCAGGGTCCCTGGTACATAACCAGCCGTACATAAACACCTGCACATAATAAAAAGCCACATTTCTATAAGCCACTTTTCCCAGTAGAATATTGGTCTTAAGATGCCAAGAAGTACAAATGTTTGCCCTCTGTTTCTTAACACAGACTTCTTGAGAAAAGTAATCGCTAACCTGACTGTATTCATTTAATTTTCCTGACTGCCTGTCAATATTATGAATGCTTTGTGAAGTCAGTAATCATTCATTTATAATAGGTGCTTTTTTCAAAGCTGTTTTCCCAACCCATTCTCTGTACCTAATAATTATACAGGCAGGGCAGCAGTCAGGCACTGTGTTCCAAATATATAAAGTCTAACCAGCACCAACATTATTCACACAGTAATACATACAGTGGGACAGACTCAAGCTG